AACATTTCAATAACAGTTCGAAATACCATCCTACATTTCTATAGTTCTTTTAATTTCCAAAACACTCATTCTCTCATTTGGTAAGTTATATTCACAGTTTATGTGCAAATTATGTATGCATTTAAAGGTTAAGCCACTTAAAAAAAATCCAAATACTCTAAAATATAGTGCAGCATTGCCTTTCAAAAATCTATTATTTAAAAAAAAGAGTTCACTGAATGCTTTGATATTTCAGGCTCTAAACTAGCTTCTGAAAAAAACAGGAAAAATACAGTCTCTAAATTAATGGAGATAGTTATTAATTTCAGAAAGTTAAGACAGGCTGGGCACGGTAGCTCATGTCTGTAATCCCAGTACTTTGGGAGGCAGAGGCAAGAGGACTGCCTGAGCCCAAAGGTTTGAGACCAGCCTAGGCAACTTGGCAAGACCTTATCTCTATAATAAATCAAAACCTTAGGCAGGCATGGTGGCACGTGCCTGTATTTCCAGCTACTCGCCTGAGCCCAACAGATAGAGGCTGTGGTAGCTGTGAGTGTGCCACTGCAGCGCAGCCTGGGAAACAAGAGTAAGACTTCAATCAAAAAGAAAAAGTTAAGACATAAATATTCATGCAGGTCCAATATACGAGCACACATACTTTTTTTTTTTTTTTGAGTCAGAGACTCACTCTGTCACACAGACTGGAGTGCAGTGGCACACTCACAGTCACACAGCCTGTATCTGCTGGGCTCAGGCGATCCTTCCGCCTCAGTCTTCCAAGTAGCTGGAAATACAGGCGTGCGACACCATATCCAGCTAATTTTTTTTCTAATTGTAGAGATGAGGTCTCGCCAAGTTGCCCAGGCTGGTCTCAAGCAAGCCTCTCACTTCCACCTCCCAAAGTGCTAGGATTACAGGTGTAAACCACCATGCCAGGTCATGAGCACATATACTTAACATGGCTCTGACTTTATACCTACATGATCAAAACTTTTGCTAATCACAAAATGCAAACTTTATCACTAAGGTGACAAATTGCTAGCAAATCTACAATTATTACTGGAACACATTTTGTCCCAGCACTACTCTTTGTAGTTACCCATTCTATCTAGTGTTCTTTATCTCTTTTAGGCTTATACAGAAAAACACACTTCCTAAACAAAGAGAAGATATATTTTTTGTACTATTATTATGTCAATCACCTCTACAGAAATGAAGAAGTTAAACAAAAATACAAAAGTAAAAGTTAGTGAAATGGTTAATATGCTTTCAGGGAAAATTCTTTTTAAGTTGGTATCTTTCAGTCATCTATTTGTATCATAGATAATCCCCCTATAGAGAGTAAGTTATTTTACTTACCCAGGAGCAGTCCAGTCTGAATGTCAGAAACCTAAATATTATAATACAGTACTGATAAGGGAATACGCTATTCTTAACTTAGTAGTGACCATTGTCCACATGCAGTAATAGTGAAGAATCACCTGTAATTATCTTATCAATTCACTACAAGTAGACTTTTCTAATTTGCTTAAAAGTAAACTTCTTAATATCACCCTTCAAATTTTAAAAAAGAATCAGGAATATGATACTTTTGCATGTATAATTATACACCATATGATAACCATTTTCCCCCTAGAAAGCACAAAAAGGTTACATCAAATAAATAGTTTGCTAACACCATTCTGCAGAGCAACCTAGGAAGACCTAAAAAGTATACAGCTGGGCGCAGTGGCTCACACCTGTACTCCCAATACTCTGGGAGGCAGAAGTAAGAGGACTGCCTGAGCCCAGAGGTGCAAGACCAGCCTGGGAAACCTGGCGAAACCTCGCTGCTATAATAAATTTTGTATTAAAAATTAGCCCAACGTGGTGGTGCGTGCTTACAGTCAACACTTAAAAGGCGGAGCAGGTTGAGGCTGCGATGGTGTGAGCGTGCCACCGCACTTCAGCCTGGGTGACTGGCTGAGACTCCTACCCCCCCCAAAAAAGTCAAGTATACTTTTTATGACTTCTTAATAAATAATTTAAAATAGTTTCTACAAAGAATAGATTCAGTTCTTCACTTAGACACTGACCTTATACAATTATTTCTTCCATCTAAATATAGCTATTTCCTATGCAAATTAAATATTGCTATTAGCTATGCAAATAAGTAGTCTTTGATCATTACTAATATATAATCTCCATCCTTTAAAATAATTAAGTTGCTACATTTCAAACAAATGCCTATTGAGTTTCAGATTTTTTTCTTAATCCAAAAGCAATACTTTGACTATATAAAACATATCAAATTACATCAGTGCTCACACTAAACATAAGATCCTTTATTTTACAGGTTAATATAATTAGTAGTCTTAAAAAAAAAAAAAAAAAAAAAGCCTAGTTTGACTTTCTTAAATGAGCACCCTCTGGGTCAATTTGGCTTGTCTGGCAACCAGCTCACTGACTCACTGAAGATAATAAAAAACGTTCCCAACTGGTAATAGTGGGAAATTGCCAGAGGAGGGGGGGCACACCTCAACAACAAGGGTACCTGCATAATGAACATTTGCATACCTAACCCTGAACTGTATCCACAAATTTAAAATAAAAAATTTTTTAAAAAGAAAAAAAAAAGTGCGGTAGCTGTGACACTGTACTCCACTCAAAAAAACCCAAAAAAACAACGTTCTCCATCAAGGACTATCTCCTTGTCCCCTTCCCAAATAACTTGCACATTAAATGAGGTTAAGACGCAGTTTAAGAACCATCAAACAAGCAGATTAACCCTTGTCAGACTGCTCAGACTAGACGTGTTGCAAGTTTCAGATTTTTTTCAGGTTTTGGAACATCAGCATTATGTGCCAGCCGAGCATCCCCAATCCAAAAATCCAAATCTGAAATGCTCCAAGGCGCAGGTCCTTTAAGTGTCCCATGGGTACCCAAAAAGTTTCAGAGGTGAAGCATTTCAGATCTGGAGTACGGGATGCTCAATCTGTACTAAGGTAAACTGATAAGAAGGGTTACTGTTTCTCGAAATTCAGTTTCTGCTATTACATTTGCTTTAGGGGGAAGTAGTCCAAATTGCTAGACTTTAAGTGAGAAGACCCACATTTCACTCTCGATTCTAGTTACAGAAACAGGAGCACGTGACTCCCCGAGAGGGGGCAATGGCACTCCAGGTCACCTTCCTCCTGGGCCCTCAAAGAGAACTGTACCTCAACATGCCGAGGAGTGCCTTGTCAAAACGTCAAGTGGCAAAGCATGATAAAGCCACCCCCGAGTATGCAGTAGGCACGAACCCCAAAGAAACCTTTCTTAAAGTTTTGGTTGCTGGAAATTTTCTTAAATTCCCTTGAATTTCTTAAATTAACACAGAATTGGAAGCAATACCAAAGCACACCACAAGCGCTAATGCAAGTACTGCAAGATATAACAAAGCAAAAAGTCAGGAAAAAATCTCACACCTTCCTGAAATAAAAAATGTATCCAAATTGACACATTCTAGGACAACAAGAAGGTATCACATCCCAGATGAAGGATAGTTTTTATTGTCACCAAACCTTAGCACCTTCAGCCTCAATTAAGTAAATCCACCCATTATCTTTGTTCTTGAACCTTTATCATGGTTCTCAGATGTTTTTCACATCAACACAGAGCAGGAGAATTAGGCAAAGTAGTTTACCCCAAAAACGTCAGTGCGTCGACTGGAGCAACAATGCGGCCACCAGACTCGTAAGAGCTGAGCTCCTGAGCTGGCCAACAAAGCATTTTCAATACCAAAGGGGACATTCCACATTTTGAGACCCCAGCTAATCTCCGAGCACAAAATTTAGCACACGACAAGTCCAACTACAAGCAAGTTCCACACTGAGTAGTGGCTGGAAGTCAATCCTGATTTCAAATCAGTTAGTAACTGCACCTCAAGAACATAAACTTATCTAGCAGCCACTAGCCAGGAATTCTGAAGTACTGACCGTCTGGAAGCAGCAAGCAGCAAGCTACCCTGAATGAGAGTCTAAAGTTATTATCTTCATTGGGCTTTGGAAGCAACCACTGTCTGAAAACTACACTGCTAGCTAGACTTCCCTCAAAACCTCAAAGGCACCATAATAAAGCACAGAATACCAAGTCTTTGGTTCTAGTCCAAGTTGAACTTTGCTGCAAATAACCTTCAGTCAAGTCGCTCAATATGCTTCATTTTCTTCTGTAAAATAGGAAAAACAGAACTATTTAAAGGAATCAAAACTAATAGTGGAAGAAGTTCCAAAGTGAAATACAGTCAACCTTTTGTTGTAAAAATTAAATAAAATTATACATGTCAAGCTGCTCAAGAGCAATGTTTGCCACATCTTAAACATTCTTAGGTATTGTTATTAACATCTCAAGAGTCATCAAGTAGAAAAACATATAACCAGATTAACAAACTGAGTATCTAATAACCCAAATCTTGTTCATTGCCCAGACATTCAAAATCCGCCACAATGAACATATTAGTCTAGCCTATCACATAATGCAACGGGAAAAATCAACTCATAATCTCTTTCCTGAAAAGTTTTTATATTACCATTAGTCAGAAAAAGATTTTCTTTATTCTATCTGTCATAATTCTTTCCATTGTTCCTTTCTTTAAAAAAAAAAAATCTAGCTACTCATATCGCAAATTCTTTGGATGTCTTTTCCACTTGTTTCAAATACCAATAAAGCCTGAATGTCCAAGCATGGAAACACTACCAAAAATCATAGGTCTATCTCTGAAAAATGCTGTTGAGCCCACCACTGGAACTGTTTTGACTAGCCATTATACCATTTGCAAGTGGAGATAACACCAAAGTGCAAATTATCTCGAGTCCCAGAAAAACAACAGATTTAGTGGTCAAGAAGCAGGATGTGTGAAGAGGAAAGCTGACAAGGTGACTTTTGGGAAAGTCACTGATCGGAGACTCCTTTACTTCAAAGGCAAAATGAAATCATTCTACTTCTCTTGCGGTTCAGGCTTATTCAAAATTGTTTATTAAAAACAAAAGCCAAAAATAACTTGCCTTGGATTGACTTCTCTTTCCATTCCTCATGCTAAATTTCTCCTTCATTTCTTCTAAGATTATCTTCAGCTTCTTTTCTTCAGGTGTCCCTAAGTATTTTTGGTTCACATGAAGATAGCAATGCCATTTGGCTGATTCAAAGCCCCAGTGGCAAGTTCTTTTGTCAGGTGATCTGTGAGAATGCATCACAAACGTCTGGGGTGCAAACATTCCACAACACTCCAGACACTGAATACAGGGAGCATCAGGCTGGACGTAAAACTGGGGTGCAAACAGACCCTGACATTTGCCCAAGCACTCATGTTCCACTTCAAAGGCACTGCCAGTTTCCTTTAACTGGGCCAATGAGTTTTTAGCAGGAAGTATGCTACCATTTTGAGGAAAAGTTCGTGGCCGCAATAAAGCATTACATAATCTTTGTGCATCAGTTAATGTAATCAGCCCACAGGACGGGGCATTGAACGGAAGTATTCCCAGGACCTTTAAGATATGAAGCTGGTCCGAAGTACACCGTGAACAATATATGTACAGTTCATCACACACTGTATTTATCTGCTGGAGTGAAAATTCTCGTAGCACAGAATTTAAAACTTGAGGCAGACAGAGTCTCTTCTCTCCTCCAACTTGAAAACAAGAAATGGATTCCCCTTCCAACACCGTCTGGGTGAGTTCTGTGGAGCTATCGGAAGGGATAAGCAGTGGGCCTGGAAGAACCTGAGGAGACGGCAGCGGCAGAAACACAGTTGGCGACATGCTTTCCTGGGAATAGCGAGCAGAAAACGCTGCTGGCCCCCCCAGAGAACTCTGACTACTTAAATGGAATTGTGCTAGCGTGTGTTTCAAACTTGGATTTAAATTTAAAGGCTCGGGCACAGAAGCACAGGTTCGCTTGACATGCTCCACGTCAGCTTCCATCGGCGCGTCTCCATAGTCATCCAAGAGTTCCTTCTTAACTGCTGGCACCCTGCTTATCATTTTTCCATTTGTATGAATGTCTGTCATCATCTTTTTCGCTGGAGGGCTGCCATCGTCTCCCATCCCATTCAGTTTTTTATTTGCGCTCTGAGCCAAGGAGAAATTTGTCTGTAGGTTTTCCATTGCTCCACTATTCTGCTAAATAATTAAGTCTGAGATGTGCATTTTCATTTAGCTGCTTATTTGGAGAGAGAAAAGTAATGGACAGGTATAAATGCTTGTAGTAACTTACTCTCACAAAAATTTAAATTTCCAAAGAGAACTCTCCTTACTCATTAGATTCTGCAACTTTGTTTTGGTTCTGCTTATAATCTAGGATTTCACTGCAAATGCTACGAAATGTCTCGTTTCATCTCTAATAATAAAGAAAAAGAAGTACACCCGAGGACGCCTTCGTCTTCTTGAATTCTTCAGCTATGTGTATTGAAATAAAGTGACTGACTTCTCAATTCAAGACGTCCAGATTCAATGCACTGGTTTGATGAGGTCTGTTTTAAGGAAAACACGTGGAAAGTTTATGCCCTTCCTTGTGTCATAAAATCTAGCCTGAAACCCAAGTCAAAATGAGGCAATCAAATTTAATTTTTGCCACCAAGGACACTGAAGAGCAGGGCGGGGGAGTAACTCCTCCAAAGAATTATGGTCGGCCGGTCTGTGCTGAAAAACTGAAGACTTGTATAAATCCTCACAACCAGGAACAGGCTCCAACTTCTTGAATTCTGCAATCAACAATGATGATTAACAAAACATTGGCCAGTAATCTTCAAGGATTATACTTCATTCTTCTTTTAACTAATCTGGAAGAAGAGAAGGGGGTGGGAGAAGAGTTACATTTGAATTTGCTCCAGAGGCCAGAGGGTCAGTCTGAAACCAGTTCCTGAAACTGAGCTCATTCCACCAAAGATGACACTTAGGTGATTTCTTTCAGTCTAACACCAGCTTCCTGGAAGAACTTCCCTCAAACAGAAAAAGCAATCTGGAAGGTGGGCAAAGGGAGCCAAAACATCCCTCCCAAGGAGGAAGGCCACCCGAATTCAGAATACGAAGACCCTTAAACAGATCGCCTCACCCAAAGCGCGGGGCCACGGACTTTCTCAGCTATGCCCTTTTCAGCAAAGAAAAATTGCTTCATCTCCTACCTAAGAAAACCAGAAAACCCACTCTCAACCCAAAAAACCAGAGAGGAGCCAACGTCTCGACTAAGTGACAACCGCCAGTGCCTGCAACCGGCCGGCCGGCGTCGGCCACTCCCGGGAAGGGCTGGAGGCGGACGCCCACGCGCCCTCCGAAGGTTCGCGACCCGGCCGAGGGGAGCCGCGCGCCAGCTCCGCGCCCGGGAAGCCCCGTCCCCGAGCCAGGCGCGCCCGGGGCGCGGAGCGCAGCAGACGAGCCTCACAAAGAATGCAAATGGAGGCAGGGGAACGGCAGG